GGGGGGGCGGGTTCTCACCCTTTGCCTGTTTGTACCCTTCAGCTTCCAGTCTTTACAGAGTAGCTATCCATGGTTCCAGAAGATATAAGACATCAATAGGTGTATATTTTATTTGTTTGGTTGTTTGTTTATAGATGGATAAAAACAGGCATTGAGATTATTTTAGGGTCTGTGTGTGTTCAGTTGTGGTTATGGTCAGGAAGGAAAGCTCCTACAGAAAAGCAGTCTTCCTCCCCAGACTTGATCCCTGACTGTATTTGGATAGATATGCTTGCATTATAGACAGAGGTAAGTATCTGACAACCTTTTATTCTTGTATCACCTATGTAGTACTGGGAATTAGAAAAACAAGAATTTTACTTAAAACTGAGGGAGTATGATTTACACATAGATGCAACAAACGTGGAACCCTCCATAGTGTGGGCTTCAGGAAAAACATCACTCATGAGACAGTATCTGTTTTAAAATGGCAATCTTCTCTTTGTTTTGCCTTTTGCCGTAGCTCTATTTTCTTGTTGCCTAGTTAGCTAGTTTGGTTGATATGTTGTCTTTCTGCCCAGGTTGCATGTGATTCCTTATCTTACAATGCATTCTGGTTGCTAATTTTAGAAATATATTCCAATTATTTTCTAATATATAATGATTTGTAGTGCCAAATGAAGGATCAAGATATGATTGTAGAAGCCCCTGTGTATAAACAGTTTCTATTTCAGAAAATTCACAATATCAAGTCAGGCAGATGGAATGGGGGATGGGTTGACAGCATAAGGTAACAATTAAATAGACTTAAACAGAAAAGGCAGAGAAATAAGTTTTCATATATTTGACCGGTGTCTAATGAGACTAATGTTGGATGTTATGACAAGTAATGTTTGCAGAGAGATTAAGAGGATAAAGGTGGTGCTTTAAAAATGTAGCATGAAAGAAACTGCAAGATGGCTTGAAGGAAGGAGAAAATAAGATAGTGAAACCTGGAACCATTGGAAGATTGACGGTTGGAGTAAATGGCTCTGTGAACTTGTAGATCTGATACATAAGGTGGAGCTAAGTAGTGGTGACATGAAAGGAAAAGAGAAGGAACTTGTTTTGATGAAAGAGGGATGATACAAAGGAGGAAATGAAGTGATTAGGGTAATGAGCCAGGAAGATGGGCAGATTTGAATGGACTTTGAAGGGGACAATATGGCTTGCATCAAGGTGGGAGTTGCATTACAAATGTATTTGACATGAGACGAGGAATTGTCAATTTGTCTGTCTGGACAGACTTTTTCATCTGTAGATAGAAGTAGCAAGATGTGGATGTAGCTCTGAGGAAGAGGCTAAGCTCAAGATGACACACATGAGAACTCAGGGTAAGAGTGACTGGGAGTATAATGATATTTCCATTGTGATGGAGCCACTGAGGAAAATGGAAACCCCGTAGGGAAA